TGATTTAATTTGACACACAATCCTAAAAACATTGATGAACATATCAAAAAACAAGTTCCTAGAATCTTCCTAGGAAGGCCCCTTAAAGAATAGGAGACCGTTAAACAACAGTATACATCTTAAAAAATGAAACTGTTTTTTTTTGCCGGCCAAACTGTCCCTTAAAAAATACAGTTTTTTAAAGGCATCATGTCCTCAAGTCTTTATGCTAAATTCCCAGGAGGATTATATATATATAATCATATATACTATAAAATATATACAATATGTAGGTGTGCGTGTGTGTGTGTGTGGGGTGTTGTGTCTGTGTGTGGTTTGGGTGAAACTGGCAGCAAAGATGGTTGCTGTTGCATCCTCTTCTCTTCAATGGGTTACCGGTTACCTGTTATCCACGATTTTTGTTCATACCGTCCCCGTGTTTGTTGGCGGTTTTCGTGGTCCTCTACATCCATCATTGATCAAGGATCCAGTTTGCACTTCGAACCAACTGAACTTCGACCCCCTAGAAAGCTATTTTGCACTTGGCCCCAGGCTAGCATCGTATCTGCATGCCGATGCATTCACCTGCCGTTCACCAGAGTTTTCCCCTTCACCCCAGCGGATGTGCAGCATTGACCACGCAAGATCTGGCATGATGTTCAAAGTATTGCCACTTCCATGATGTTCCATGCCCCATTCTTGAAATACCAACATTCCTTGAATCCACCCAGATCCAAACACCACCATTCTTTGAGACCAACACATTTTCTGCGCTCACTCACCATCTTAGCACGGCCTTCAACACCAGTGCGTTTTTCGCACATTCGGTCTACTCGACCACGCAATGAGGAGAGCACAGTACTTTTGCGTGTGAATAGTTTTGTTCTTAGTGTCTTGTTTTTCTTAATGATATAAATTGCGTCTGTTTTTTTGTCTTCATTGTTGATGGACTGGCTCTTCTTTTTAAAGTAATTCCGGCCAAGGGAAGCTATCCGTATCCAGGCCAGCGCCACTCCCATATGCCTTCGGACTGTCAGGGCAGCCGTTGACCGATGGGCTTCAAAAAACGGGCGGGGGACCATTGGAAGATTATCGTGCCTTCTTCCTCTTGAAAATACGATGATGATGCTTCAAAAGTCGGGCAACAGAATAGGAAAAACTGTATTAATATTTGTCTTCTTGGGGATCGACCAGAATGGTCGCAAAGGTGGTGCATGGCTTGTAGCCCATTTACAGTACATCTCAAAGCCTAAGATGCGTCCCAACCTTTTTTCAATTTTCGACACCCCTTCTTGGTTACCCAACTTTCCTCCGCTAGCCTAAGTTAGTCTACTCTGGCTTTGGTGTCCCTGGGCCCGTCCCCAGGTATAAATTTCCATTATTTTGCTTTTGGTTGGAGCTGGAGTTCCAAAGACCACTTGCCACAACAAAGGCTGAGTCACACACTTCTCACATGTTTCAACATGTTCCCTTATTTTTTTTTGAGAACCGCATATTCTGGCCCCTACCTGTGCGATTTTATGGCAATTGGTTGAGGCAGGTGCCATTAAAGTGACACATAGCTACTATCAAAAATCTGCAAGTCATACTATGTCTATATATACATAGAAATCAATTTTCGCAGGGAAGCCTATGGATTTCAATATCCCAAAGAGATAAAACTTGATAGAACTCATGGTTTTCATAGTCTTCCAATTTCCAAAATAGATTAGATATGATTAGATGCTGTCCCATCGTATCACAAAGTTATGAAAACCAGAAGGCAACCACTTTTGGGGCGAAGTTTCCCCCTCAGGCCCCCCGCTCTGCGAAGTCCAAACTTTTCTTTGGCCACCTGCGAAGCCTAGGCGTTTTCCAAAGCATGCTGTTTGGATCGGCCGATCATGTGAATGTGCCTGATATAATGTGGTAAACAAAGCATTTGGTTGATTCAGTGTGGTCGAAGGAAGTTTAGAAGTCAAACTTCCAACAATATGGACAGATGAAAAGCAGAGCAGGGAAGAGGCAGAGAGAAGAGAAAGATTAGAAGAAAGAAGAGTAAGAAGAAAGAAGATGCAGATGCGCGAAAAGGTAGGAAAGTCGCGAAACACTGTGTTTTTCCAATGATTTGTGGCTCCGGAGGGTCGAAAAGTAGGCTCGCTAAAGTGGCGGGTGCGGAGCCAGCTGGCCAGATGAGAGATGAAAAATTGCACGCCGTTGTGGCGCGAAGCACATTTCCAAGTCAAAATGTACAAAACACACCAGGTGCAGACCACGTTTGGCAGTTGAGATGTCGAAAAAGTGCACGCCGTTGTGGCGCGAAGCACATTTCGAAGTCAAAATGTACAAAACACCTCAGCGTCGGACCACTTTTGGAAGTTGCGATGTCGAAAAAGTGCACGCCGTTGTGGCGCAAAGCACATTTCGAAGTCAAAATGTACAAAACACCTCAGCGTCGGAGCACTTTTGGAAGTTGAGATGTCGAAAAAGTGCACGCTGTTGTGGCGCGAAGCACATTTGGAAGTCACAATGTTAAAAACACTAGGGGTTCGGACCACTTTTGGAAGTTCAGATCTCGAAAAAGTGCACGCCGTTGTGGCACGAAGCACATTTGGAAGTCAAAATGTTAAAAACACTAGGGGTTCGGACCACTTTTGGAGGCTCAGATGTCGTTTCGCTTCACTACACTACACTACATTACACTACACTACACTCCACTACACTCACTACACTACAGGACATTACACTACACTACACTCCACTACACTACATTACACTACACTACACTCCAGTACACTCCACTACACTAAATTACACTACACCACACTACATTACACTACACTACGCTCCACTACACTACACCACACTACATCACATTACATTACACTATACTACACTATCTTCCACTACACTTCACTACCTTACACTACACTACACTCCATTACACTACAACTACAACTGCAAATACACAACTACACTCCACTACACTCCACTACACTCCACTACACTCCACTACACTCCACTCCACTACACTAAATTACTCTACACTACACTACATTACACTACACTACACTACATTCCGCCACACTCCACTACACTACATTACACTACACTACACTACATTCCGCCACACTCCACTACACCACACTACATTACACTACACTACATTACACTGAATGACACTGCACAACAGATAGACAGGTAGACAGATAGATAGATAGATAGATAGATAGATAGACAGATAGACAGATAGACAGGTACAGTAGACAGCTAGACAGATGAAAGGGAGAGATAGATAGATAGATAGATAGATAGATAGATAGATAGATAGATAGATAGATAGACAGATAGATAGGTACATAGATAGATAGATCGATAGGTAATTAGATGCAAGAGAGAGAGAGAGAGGCCAGCTGGGTAGATGAGAGAGAGAGAGAGAGAGATAGATAGATAGATAGATAGATACATAGATAGATAGATAGATAGGTAGATAGATAGATCGATCGATGTATAGATAGATCGATAGATCGATAGATAGATCGGTAGAGAGATAGATGGATAGATAGATAGACTGATAGACAGACAGATAGATAGATAGATAGATAGATGGCTAGACATATAGATAGATAGATAGATAGATAGATAGATAGGTAGATAGATAGATAGATAGGTAGATAGATAGATAGATGGCTAGACAGATAGATAGATAGATAGAAAGATGGATAGATAGATAGATAGATAGATAGAAAGAAAGATAGATAGATAGATAGATCGATGTATAGATAGATCGATGTATAGATAGATCGATGTATAGATAGATCGATGTATAGATAGATAGATAGATAGATCGATCGATAGATAGATAGATAGATAGAAAGATAGATAGATAGGTAGATAGATAGATAGATAGATAGATCGATCGATAGATCGATAGATAGATAGATAGATTGATAGATAGATTGATAGGTAATTAGATGAAAGAGAGAGAGAGAGAGAGGCCAGCTGGGTAGATGAAATAGATAGATAGATAGATAGATAGATAGATAGATAGATAGATAGATAGAAAGATAGATAGACAGATAGATAGATAGATAGATAGTCAGAAAAAGAGAGAGAAAGAGAGGAGACCTCAAGCACCTTTCGGTCCATCAGTGGATTCGCTCTGCCATCCCGGATTCACAACAACCAAGCTCTCCTATAGGTTTCCTATTTTTGAAACTTCCGCCACCGCCTTGTGCGGTACTACTGGTATGTCTGGTGTAACATTATGGTCAATAGTCCCTATTTCGTATTGGAAATTTGGTCAGTCGGGATATGAATGTGATGTGATAGACAAAAGCCGGTAACCAACTGTGAGGGCGTCTTTTTGCATTAACATACCAAGTGGCAAACCTCAATTGGGAATGATTGATGGACTTTATGGGTTTGTCCACATTGGATAGGAGTTGGGACATTTGAATTTCACAGCCCCCATCCCCGAGCAACCGCCGGCCCATTTGAGCTTTAAGTGTTCAATGGATGATGGATCTCACCACCACGTTTCATACGGACATGCATACCATGATCCAAACAACCAAGGAGTATTTATTGAAGCCGGTTCAGCTTTCCTTAAATATTTGGTACACAAAAACTTCACCATTGGGATTGTGACAAGCTATTGCGTCCACTTCTTAGCGGCGTGGCAGCAGTCCAAGATAGCTGCGGCTGGTCATGCATGGCCACAAGCAGTGGCAACTGCTGGAAACATTGTGGCCGTGATTTAAAGGCGAAATTGGTCAATGCAAAACTGCCACATGAAAAAAACAACTCTGAGAGCAACACAATCAAAGCCTTATTACATCAGGTTCGATTGATTATAGTACCAAGTGCTGAACCAATGTCCCCTCTGGAGCATTTCGACGGAACGTCCAGCAAACGAAAGGGATTTGCATCACCTTCATGTCAGCTGGAATCAAACCACCATGGTCTGCCCAACATGAGAATGGACAGCCACTGTGAGCACTGAATTCCAAATCATATTCCTTATAGAAAATTGTCTCCCTTCACTTTGGCCAATTTGCCTCGTGCATGGGCACGAAATGCAAAACTGGCGGGAGGGAGGCCTTACGGAGCATTGGCGGAGCCACTTGTTTCGAAAGCGTGGGCTGCTGGGTTGCGTGCATCAATAGCCAAGGAATCACCATGGCAACGGAGATGAACTTCCACGGCTGCCAACGACGTGGCATTCTCACCGTCGGCTTGATCTCAAAAACTTGCACTGGAGGCATGTTGCCTCCTAGCACTGGATCAATCATAGGGTGGGGCTGTCTGCGCACAGCTTCTGTCTTATCCGCCAAGTCCGAATGCAGAAGTATGTCCACATCTTCTGGACCTCAGGCACGGGCACATGTTTCTTTCAAGCGCACAAACCGTAAATTGGAGGTACATAGACGCAACCATGGGCAAACTGTGGGGTACAGCCTTGGCCAAAAGAACTTGAACTTGGGTAGCAGCGTAACAGTTTGTCAAACAATCCGAAGCAGGCTGGGTTTCTTCTATTATAAAGTACGTTTTCAAATTCCTATGATTTCAACTTGCGGTGAACCAGCCAAATCTTCCATCTCCAGGCGGCGTTGAATTCGACTTGGCAATTCGGAAAGAACTTCCTGCAAATCCTCCTCATGGCAGCTCAGAATTGCCTGAAAGGCTTGGTCTAGCGAGAGAAGCATCAGATTCAGCCCAGCTTTTTTACGAAGACAGGAATACATGGTTGCCTTGTTCTCTGCAAGCCTGCTTCGCAAGGAATTCGCTCCACATGCAGCTGCTTAAACCATGCACAATACAAACTGTGTTTGCTTTTAATGTATGTTTGCCTGTCCATCGATGTTGGTACTACACCCCGCGAGTTTGCAGTGAACCAGCAGTGAACCAACTAAACCGGAACCTTTATACGCATTTTACTGTGTGTTTAGAACCATGACAAGCATAAAACACTGTAAAATACCGTGCCTTTAGGACTTTGGAACCAAAATGTTACATCCCCCTCAACGGCCGCTCTCAACATTTTTGGGTGGTTCGGGATTCTCACCGTTCATGGGCAGTCCATGATAATCCAATACTTTGGGATGCAAAGAGTGGAATTTGTTACAAGGTCCCTTCAAAACCAAGACATTGAGAAGACTTCGAGCACCCAGGCCAAGTGGCTTGCTTGCCGGACAGGAGCAACTGAACTCCAAATTTCAATGGAACTCCTTGCGGGGCTAGCTGCAGTTGCATCTGCAAGCTGTATGACAAGCTGTATGAACAAAGATATGCATCGCCAGTGCCATTGCAAAGGTGTCTGGCAGGACAGGGAGTCAGAAAATTTGGGAGTTGAACCTGGCAAGTGCTTCTGACAATGGTGGTAGAGTACCTCCCACAACTTGGGAAGCACCTGCTGCGTGCTGAACCGCCGTTAATCTGCTGCGCTCGGCGAGCCATGGACAACAAGCCTAAAATCTTTAAATTTCAATCAGACTCATTGGCATGCCCAATTTTGTTAGTTGAGCTGAATTGAGCTGTTTCAAAAAAAACACAAGATTGGTTTTAATATGTTTTAATAAAGGGAGTTTTCTGGCTCACATCTCTCTCCTTGAGACTCCAAAACATGGTCCCAAAGACGTGCCCCTGCTTCTGTGGGCAGCACGTGCAGGAACATATCGATGAACCAGTTTTGTACCTCAGCTGCACACCAGCTTCACTACATCCACTTGGTCACCACAACAACGTTCAAAAACCTATATCAAGAATTGCCGAGCAAATGGGAGCGGCGGACACTGCATTTTATGGGATCCTAAGCACTGGTGTTTGGAAGTCCAGCCTTGCAAGAGAAGCTCTTGTTTCCTGAGGAAGAAGGGATCATGGATCTATCATGATCTATCTGTGAGATCTTTTCCTTGCGCTACTCCTTCAGTGGCAGAAAGGACCGGAAAACTTCTTCAAGGGTTCTCCAGTGAATCTGGGTCAAGGTGCAATCATTGGGAGGTAATCGATGTCCACCTCTTCTAGCCTTTGGGCCACTGTGGGACTTTCAACTTGAATCATTTCTCGAAGCTGTTCAGCTAACCCCTGGTTGGCAGCGAAGAGCTTGTCACCATCTGGGTGAAAGAGGTTCTCATCGGCCTGCAGGCTGAGCCCCCTCATTTTCGCAAGCATCAGGACCCCATGAGGAAAAAATACGACGACGGACTGTGCCATTTGCCGCACGAAACATCCAATCTTGTGCGTACCAACTGGCTCGTCCCATGCCCTTCCCCCCCTCCTGGCGGATCACATAGTCAAAAACTTGCAATGCTGCCATCTCTTCCCCTGTCTCGCGGAAACATGTCGCCATCCTCAAGTGGTCCAGCGGCACCCACGGTGTTCATCTGTTCTGTAATTTGCAAAACATTTGTGGATTCTATTGGAAGGAGAAGTGCCCAACATGCTACCATGTAAATCCAGCAAGTCCTGCGCACAATTATGCTTAAATGTGCGAAATCATTTACCAGTCTGAAGACGTTCTAAGCTTTGCGATTGCCACAGTAGACGTGTTTGGGATGTGGAATCGCCACAAGCTAAGCACGCGGCACATGATTCATCCCCTGCATGTATGTCAGGGTCTCCTCATTCTCAAGCCATTTGATCCTTGGATGAGTCAACTCATGTGGCCCAGGTATGCTGCGATTGAGGAGAAAAGCCAGCGCTGAGCTGATTTGAATGCTGTTCTTGGAATGGCAAGATTTGAAAAACACCACAAAGGAAATATTCCTTGTAGAACAAATAGCTCTTTCATCTCGAAACGGCTTTCAAAAAACATACTGTGCTAGCGGATCCATGTAATACACTTTCTGGAGAAGATATATCTAAAAGTTTTGTGCACAAAACTTGAAAACTTACGCTGAACCTGTTGCAAATGAACAAATGCATGCGCCAAGCCCCAAAAGAAGCTTGCATGAGAAAAGATCGTTTGGTTTGAAGCCTTTACCATGTTTAGATCACAACTTGTTTATATCATATGTACACATATCTGTGCAGTGCAGGGCAGAATGATTACATAGTAATAAATAGTACTGTATGCCAATGTTTGCCATATTACATAGATCGGTCAAGGAGCTCTTGGAGCTCAAGTGTTTCCCCACTCTTTTGGCTGGTGGTGTGGGCGAATCCATGACATCAGGGGCTTATGCTACACACCTCGGAAGCCCGAAAAGTGCTTTCCCCAAGGATTGACTGGGCTCCCAACAGGTCCCCCCTTAGTTGATCCTGTTGGGTACCCGGCCCTACCCATATCTTCAATGACCAGGTCAGCTCCTCAGCACCGGTGATCTAAGTGTCATCAAATCGATCAACTTCTGGCGCCTCTTCACCAGTTCTGGCTCCGCAACCTGGTGGCCAAACAACATCTTCGAGTATGTCCTGCCAAGGCTCATGCTGAGCTCATGCTGCTAAGTATTCCTGAGGTTGTTTCCATAATATGTTTGTGTCGTTGTCAACTTGGCAGAAGGATTGCACTTGTCACAGTCAAAAGAATCCCCATACCAACATCAGCTAACTGCGCTTTGATGTTTTGGTTATCCTTCGAAGCAGTCCTGGCCATGTCCATCTCCACTTGATGCTGGATTTCTACTGAAACCACTTTGCTTTTGGCATCAGCATCTGGCCTGCAGTTGCAAGCAAGGAAACGAGAATGGGAGAGGTAACTGTGAGTACAAGTAGGCAATGATGTACCCAAACTCGGACACTTTGCCCTCTTACTCATTGGACAAAGCTGCTCAAAATGCCACACCTTCTCACCAAGTAGCAATCTTTCAACTTGGGGGATGAAAAGTGCAGTGTCTGTGCATGGCCGAACCTGTGCATCTGCGCGGCCGCGGCAAGCCACTGGTCAGCTCGGGCTGCACCCGTCATGTGAGGCACAAGTCTATGAGACCAGTTTGTCTCGACGTGGGACCGACTGAAGCCAGAGTTTTGCCAGCGGTTGAACCACACGGGTTCCTTTCAAAGCTACATGAATACCTGGAAATGACAAGATGATCCAAGCCGTACAAGTTGATTCCTTGCAAAGAACGGATTTCTGGGCACGGCCCTAAAAAAATGCATGTGGAGATGCCCTGTCTGCCATGTTCTCAGTTTCATTTCCTCCCAATTCCATGGCGCTGGGTGCCTGGGACTCTTGCCACCGCAACAGGAAAGCCTGAGCAGCATGAAGGACCGGTACCAGGGATGTATATATACATACGTGATCACATATGTATAAGTAAACATGTATGCGTATGTGTATAATGGTTGACCATCATTAACCATCATTAACCCTCATTTCACCGCCTCATCAACCATACTCAACCATACTCAACCACCATTCAGCCATCATTGAGGAACCCAGCTAGCCACAGCTGCATCCCAGCCATGTCCCAGCTACCTGGTCGTCCACGGTGAAGTCATGGTGGACAGGTCATGGTGGTTAATAATAGGGAAAAAATAGGGAACAACAACAACCCTATTGAATGATGATGAATGATGGTTAACTTAATGGTTCGATCATGATCTTTGAAAGTTAAAATTATGGTTGATAGTTCATGGAGGATTTCTGATGCTTAATGATGGTTGATTGCTACTCAGAATGATGTTTAGAAGAGTGAATACTGACAGTTTGATTGTTGTTGTTGACCGTTGGCTAATCATGACTGACAGTGTTCAACAGTTGAAAAACATGCAGAAGAGGATGGCCCACAACGATTGCAGTAAATGATGGTTAAATCATGGTAAATATAGTCGTTAATGACGATTGATGATGGATTATGATACATAATGATGATTGATAGATATTGATGTATCATAATCAACAATAGAAATGATAGATATTGATATAGTATGATAGTACGGGGTGGTGATTAGATAATGGACAACCAGAATGGTCAAGGATGGTTGGGTTGTCAGCCACAGTTGGTTGATGGTCCATCGCCAAGAATGAGAATGGAGACAACCAGCAGCACGTGGTTTCGACTTTCTTGCATACAAATGTATACAACTGTATATAATAACACCAAAGAAACTAGCTCATAGACTTCCAGACCCGTTTGACCATGAGTTCCATCCAACACCTCGCGTGTCCACTTGGCGGCGTGGCAGCAGTCCAAGATAGCTGTGGCTGGTCATGCATGGCCACAAGCAGTGGCAACTGCTGGAAACATTGTGGCCGTGATTCAAAGGCGAAATTGGTCAATGCTGCCGCATGGAAAAAAAAACTCTGAGAGCAACACAATCAAAGCCTTATTACATCAGGTTCGATTGATTATAGTACCAAGTGCTGAACCAATGTCCCCTCTGGAGCATTTCGACGGAACGTCCAGCAAACGAAAGGGATTTGCATCACCTTCATGTCAGCTGGAATCAACCCACCATGGTCTGCCCAACATGAGAATGGACCGCCACTGTGAGCACTGAATTCCAAATCATACCTTATAGAAAATTTTCTCCCTTCACTTTGGCCAATTTGCCTCGTGCATGGGCACGAAATGCAAAACTGGCGGGAGGGAGGCCTTACGGAGCATTGGCGGAGCCACTTGTTTCGAAAGCGTGGGCTGATGCACCTGGGTTGCGTGCATCAATAGCAAAGGTATCACCATGGCAACGGAGATGAACTTCCACGGCTGCCAACGACGTGGCATTCTCACCGTCGGCTTGATCTCAAAAACTTGCACTGGAGGCATGTTGCCTCCTAGCAGTGGATCAATCATAAGGTGGGGCTGTCTGCGCACAGCTTCTGTCTTATCCGCCAAGTCCGAATGCAGAAGTATGTCCACATCTTCTGGACCTCAGGCACGGGCACATGTTTCTTTCAAGCGCACAAAAAGTAAATTGGAGGTACATAGACTCAATCATGGGCAAACTGTGGGGTACAGCCTTGGCCAAAAGAACTTGAACTTGGGTAGCAGCGTAACAGTTTGTCAAACAATCCGAAGCAGGCTGGGTTTCTTCTATAAAGCACGTTTTCAAATTCCTATGTTTTCAAATTGCGGTGAACCAGCCAAATCTTCCATCTCCAGGCGGCGTTGAATTCGACTTGGCAATTCGGAAAGAACTTCCTGCAAATCCTCCTCATGGCAGCTCAGAATTGCCTGAAAGGTTTGGTCTAGCGAGAGAAGCATCAGATTCAGCCCAGCTTTTTTTACGAAGACAGGAATACATGGTTGCCTTGTTCTCTGCAAGCCTGCTTCGCAAGGGAATTCGCTCCACATGCAGCTGCTTAAACCATGCACAATACAAACTGTGTCTGCTTTTAATGTATGTTTGCCTGTCCATCAATGTTGGTACTACACCCCGCAAGTTTGCAGTGAACCAACAGTGAACCAACAGTGAACCAACTAAACCGGAACCTTTATACGCATTTTACTGTGTGTTTAGAACCATGACAAGCATAAAACACTGTAAAATACCGTGCCTTTAGGACTTTGGAACTAAAATGTTACATCCCCCTCAACGGCCGCTCTCAACATTTTTGGGTGGTTCGGGATTCTCACCGTTCATGGGCAGTCCATGATAATCCAATACTTTGGGATGCAAAGAGTGGAATTTGTTACAAGGTCCCTTCAAAACCAAGACATTGAGAAGACTTCGAGCACCCAGGCCAAGTGGCTTGCTTGCCGGACAGGAGCAACTGAACTCCAAATTTCAATGGAACTCCTTGCGGGGCTAGCTGCAGTTGCATCTGCAAGCTGTATGACAAGCTGTATGAACAAAGATATGCATCGCCAGTGCCATTGCAAAGGTGTCTGGCAGGACAGGGAGTCAGAAAATTTGGGAGTTGAACCTGGCAAGTGCTTCTGACAATGGTGGTAGAGTACCTCCCACAACTTGGGAAGCACTTGCTGCGTGCTGAACCGCCGTTAATCTGCTGCGCTCGGCGAGCCATGGACAACAAGCCTAAAATCTTTAAATTTCAATCAGACTCATTGGCATGCCCAATTTTGTTAATTGAGCTGAATTGAGCTGTTCCAAAAAAAACGCAAGATTGGTTTTAATATGTTTTAATAAAGGGAGTTTTCTGGCTCACATCTCTCTCCTTGAGACTCCAAAACATGGTCCCAAAGACGTGCCCCTGCTTCTGTGGGCAGCACGTGCAGGAACATATCGATGAACCAGTTTTGTACTTCAGCTGCACGCCAGCTTCACTACATCCACTTGGTCACCACAACAACGTTCAAAAACCTATATCAAGAATTGCCGAGCAAATGGGAGCGGCGGACACTGCATTTTATGGGATCCCAAGCACTGGTGTTTGGAAGTCTAGCCTTGCAAGAGAAGCTCTTGTTTCCTGAGGAAGAAGGGATCATGGATCTATCATGATCTATCTGTGAGATCTTTTCCTTGCGCTACTCCTTCAGTGGCAGAAAGGACCGGAAAACTTCTTCAAGGGTTCTCCAGTGAATCTGGGTCAAGGTGCAATCATTGGCAAGTAATCAATGTCCACCTCTTCTAGCCTTTGGGCCACTGTGGGACTTTCAACTTGAATCATTTCTCGAAGCTGTTCAGCTAACCCCTGGTTGGCAGCGAAGAGCTTGTCACCATCTGGGTGAAAGAGGTTCTCATCGGCCTGCAGGCTGAGCCCCCTCATTTTCGCAAGCATCAGGACCCCATGAGGAAAAAATACGACGACGGACTGTGCCATTTGCCGCACGAAACATCCAATCTTGTGCGTACCAAACGTCCCATGCCCTTCCCCCCCTCCTGGCGGATCACATAGTCAAAAACATGTTTCCGCGAGACAGGGGAAGAGAACTCTTCCCCTGTCTCGCGGAAACATGTCGCCATCCTCAAGTGGTCCAGCGGCACCCACGATGTTCATCTATGTTCTGTAATTTGCAAAACATTTGTGGATTCTATTAAGGAGAAGTGCCCAACATGCTACCATGTAAATCCAGTAAGTCCTGCGCACAATTATGCTTAAATGCGCGAAATCGTTTTCCAGTCTGAAGACGTTCTAAGCTTTGCGATTGCCACAGTGGACGCGTTTGGGATGTGGAATCGCCACAAGCTAAGCACGCGGCACATGATTCATCCCCTGCATGTATGTCAGGGTCTCCTCATTCTCAAGCCATTTGATCCTTGGATGAGTCAACTCATGTGGCCCAGGTATGCTGCGATTGAGGAGAAAAGCCAGCGCTGAGCTGATTTGAATGCTGTTCTTGGAATGGCAAGATTTGAGAAACACCACAAAGGAAATATTCCTTGTAGAACAAATAGCTCTTTCATCTCGAAACGGCTTTCAAAAAAACATACTGTGCTAGCGGATCCATGTAATACACTTTCTGGAGAAGATATATCTAAAAGTTTTGTGCACAAAACTTGAAAACTTACGCTGAACCTGTTGCAAATGAATACATGCATTCGCCAAGCCCCAAAAGAAGCTTGCATGAGAAAAGATCGTTTTGGTTTGAAGCCTTTACCATGTTTAGATCACAACTTGTTTATATCATATGTACACATATCTGCGCAGTGCAGGGCAGAATGATTACATAGTAATAAATAGTACTGTATGCCAATGTTTGCCATATTACATAGATCGGTCAAGGAGCTCTTGGAGCTCAAGTGTTTCCCCACTCTTTTGGCTGGTGGTGTGCGGGGAATCCATGACATCAGGGGCTCATGCTACACACCTCGGAAGCCCGAAAAGTGCTTTCCCCAAGGATTGACTGGGCTCCCAACAGGTCCCCCCTTAGTTGATCCTGTTGGGTACCCGGCCCTACCCATATCTTCAATGACCAGGTCAGCTCCTCAGCACCGGTGATCTAAGTGTCATCAAATCGATCAACTTCTGGCGCCTCTTCACCAGTTCTGGCTCCGCAACCTGGTGGCCAAACAACATCTTCGAGTATGTCCTGCCAAGGCTCATGCTGAGCTCATGCTGCTAAGTATTCCTGAGGTTGTTTCCATAATATGTTTGTGTCGTTGTCAACTTGGCAGAAGGATTGCACTTGTCACAGTCAAAAGAATCCCCATACCAACATCAGCTAACTGCGCTTTGATGTTTTGGTTATCCTTCGAAGCAGTCCTGGCCATGTCCATCTCCACTTGATGCTGGATTTCTACTGAAACCACTTTGCTTTTGGCATCAGCATCTGGCCTGCAGTTGCAAGCAAGGAAACGAGAATGGGAGAGGTAACTGTGAGTAGGCAATGATGTACCCAAACTCGGACACTTTGCCCTCTTACTCATTGGACAAAGCTGCTCAAAATGCCACACCTTCTCACCAAGTAGCAATCTTTCAACTTGGGGGATGAAAAGTGCAGTGTCTGTGCATGGCCGAACCTGTGCATCTGCGCGGCCGCGGCAAGCCACTAGTCAGCTCGGGCTGCACCCGTCATGTGAGGCACAAGTCTATGAGACCAGTTTGTCTCGACGTGGGACCGACTGAAGCCAGAGTTTTGCCAGCGGTTGAACCACACGGGTTCCTTTCAAAGCTACATGAATACCTGGAAATGACAAGATGATCCAAGCCGTACAAGTTGATTCCTTGCAAAGAACGGATTTCTGGGCACGGCCCTAAAAAAATGCATGTGGAGATGCCCTGTCTGCCATGTTCTCAGTTTCATTTCCTCCCAATTCCATGGCGCTGGGTGCCTGGGACTCTTGCCACTGCAACAGGAAAGCCTGAGCAGCATGAAGGACCGGTACCAGGGATGTATATATACATACCTGATCACATATGTATAAGTAAACATGTATGCGTATGTGTATAATGGTTGACCATCATTAACCATCATTAACCCTCATTTCACCGCCTCATCAACCATACTCAACCATACTCAACCACCATTCAGCCATCATTGAGGAACCCAGCTAGCCACAGCTGCATCCCAGCCATGTCCCAGCTACCTGGTCGTCCACGGTGAAGTCATGGTGGACAGGTCATGGTGGTTAATAATAGGGAAAAAATAGGGAACAACAACAACCCTATTGAATGATGATGAATGATGGTTAACTTAATGGTTCGATCATGATCTTTGAAAGTTAAATTTATGGTTGATAGTTCATGGAGGATTTCTGATGCTTAATGATGGTTGATTGCTACTCAGAATGATGTTTAGAAGAGTGAATAGTGACAGTTTGATTGTTGTTGTTGACCGTTGGCTAATCATGACTGACAGTGTTCAACAGTTGAAAGACATGCAGAAGAGGATGGCCCACAACGATTGCAGTAAATGACGGTTAAATCATGGTCAATATAGTCGTTAATGACGATTGATGATGGATTATGATACACAATGATGATTGATAGATATTGATGTATCATAATCAACAATAGAAATGATAGATATTGATATAGTATGATAGTACGGGGTGATGATTAGATAATGGACAACCAGAATGGTCAAGGATGGTTGGGTTGTCAGCCACAGTTGGTTGATGGTCCATCGCCAAGAATGAGAATGGAGACAACCAGCAGCACGTGGTTTCGACTTTCTTGCATACAAATGTATACAACTGTATATAATAACACCAAAGAAACTAGCTCATAGACTTCCAGACCCGTTTGACCATGAGTTCCATCCAACACCTCGCGTGTCCACTTGGCGGCGTGGCAGCAGTCCAAGATAGCTGTGGCTGGTCATGCATGGCCACAAGCAGTGGCAACTGCTGGAAACATTGTGGCCGTGATTCAAAGGCGAAATTGGTCAATGCAAAACTGCCACATGGAAAAAAAAAACTCTGAGAGCAACACAATCAAAGCCTTATTACATCAGGTTCGATTGATTATAGTACCAAGTGCTGAACCAATGTCCCCTCTGGAGCATTTCGACGGAACGTCCAGCAAACGAAAGGGATTTGCATCACCTTCATGTTAGGTGGAATCAACCCACCATGGCCTGCCCAACATGAGAATGGACCGCCACTGTGAGCACTGAATTCCAAATCATACCTTATAGAAAATTTTCTCCCTTCACTTTGGCCAATTTGCCTCGTGCATGGGCACGAAATGCAAAACTGGCGGGAGGGAGGCCTTACGGAGCATTGGCGGAGCCACTTGTTTCGAAAGCGTGGGCTGATGCACCTGGGTTGCGTGCATCAATAGCAAAGGTATCACCATGGCAACGGAGATGAACTTCCACGGCTGCCAACGACGTGGCATACTCACCGTCGGCTTGATCTCAAAAACTTGCACTGGAGGCATGTTGCCTCCTAGCAGTGGATCAATCATAAGGTGGGGCTGTCTGCGCACAGCTTCTGTCTTATCCGCCAAGTCCGAATGCAGAAGTATGTCCACATCTTCTGGACCTCAGGCGCGGGCACATGTTTCTTTCAAGCGCACAAAACGTAAATTGGAGGTACATAGACTCAACCATGGGCAAACTGTGGGGTACAGCCTTGGCCAAAAGAACTTGAACTTGGGTAGCAGCGTAACAGTTTGTCAAACAATCCGAAGCAGGCTGGGTTTCTTCCAGAAAGCACGTTTTCAAATTCCTATGATTTCAACTTGCGGTGAACCAGCCAAATCTTCCATCTCAGGCGGCGTTGAATTCGACTTGGCAATTCGGAAAGAACTTCCTGCAAATCCTCCTCATGGCAGCTCAGAATTGCCTGAAAGGCTTGGTCTAGCGAGAGAAGCATCAGATTCAGCACAGCTTTTTTACGAAGACAGGAATACATGGTTGCCTTGTTCTCTGCAAGCCTGCTTCGCAAGGGAATTCGCTCCACATGCAGCTGCTTAAACCATGCACAATACAAACTGTGTCTGCTTTTAATGTATGTTTGCCTGTCCATCAATGTTGGTACTACACCCCGCGAGTTTGCAGTGAACCAACAGTGAACCAACTAAACCGGAACCTTTATACGCATTTTACTGTGTGTTTAGAACCATGACAAGCATAAAACACTGTAAAATACCGTGCCTTTAGGACTTTGGAACTAAAATGTTACATCCACCTCAACGGCCGCTCTCAACATTTTTGGGTGGTTCGGGATTCTCACCGTTCATGGGCAGTCCATGATAATCCAATACTTTGGGATGCAAAGAGTGGAATTTGTTACAAGGTCCCTTCAAAACCAAGACATTGAGAAGACTTCGAGCACCCAGGCCAAGTGGCTTGCTTGCCCGACAGGAGCAACTGAACTCCAAATTTCAATGGAACTCCTTGCGGGGCTAGCTGCAGTTGCATCTGCAAGCTGTATGACAAGCTGTATGAACAAAGATATGCATCGCCAGTGCCATTGCAAAGGTGTCTGGCAGGACAGGGAGTCAGAAAATTTGGGAGTTGAACCTGGCAAGTGCTTCTGACAATGGTGGTAGAGTACCTCCCACAACTTGGGAAGCACTTGCTGCGTGCTGAACCGCCGTTAATCTGCTGCGCTCGGCGAGCCATGGACAACAAGCCTAAAATCTTTAAATTTCAATCAGACTCATTGGCATGCCCAATTTTGTTAATTGAGCTGAATTGAGCTGTTTCAAAAAAAACACAAGATTGGTTTTAATATGTTTTAATAAAGGGAGTTTTCTGGCTCACATCTCTCTCCTTGAGACTCCAAAACATGGTCCCAAAGACGTGCCCCTGCTTGTGTGGGCAGCACGTGCAGGAACATATCGATGAACCAGTTTTGTACTTCAGCTGCACGCCAGCTTCACTACATCCACTTGGTCACCACAACAACGTTCAAAAACCTATATCAAGAATTGCCGAGCAAATGGGAGCGGCGGACACTGCATTTTATGGGATCCCAAGCAATGGTGTTTGGAAGTCTAGCCTTGCAAGAGAAGCTCTTGTTTCCTGAGGAAGAAGGGATCATGGATCTATCATGATCTATCTGTGAGATCTTTTCCTTGCGCTACTCCTTCAGTGGCAGAAAGGACCGGAAAACTTCTTCAAGGGTTCTCCAGTGAATCTGGGTCAAGGTGCAATCATTAGTAAGTAATCAATGTCCACCTCTTCTAGCCTTTGGGCCACTGTGGGACCTTCAACTTGAATCATTTCTCGAAGCTGTTCAGCTAACCCCTGGTTGGCAGCGAAGAGCTTGTCACCATCTGGGTGAAAGAGGTTCTCATCGGCCTGCAGGCTGAGCCCCCTCATTTTCGCAAGCATCAGGACCCCATGAGGAAAAAATACAACGACGGACTGTGCCATTTGCCGCACGAAACATCCAATCTTGTGCGTACCAAACGTCCCATGCCCTTCCCCCCCTCCTGGCGGATCACATAGTCAAAAACATGTTTCCGCGAGACAGGGGAAGAGAACTCTTCCCCTGTCTCGCGGAAACATGTCGCCATCCTCAAGTGGTCCAGCGGCACCCACGATGTTCATCTATGTTCTGTAATTTGCAAAACATTTGTGGATTCTATTAGAAGGAGAAGTGCCCAACATGCTACCATGTAAATCCAGTAAGTCCTGCGCACAATTATGCTTAAATGCGCGAAATCGTTTTCCAGTCTGAAGACGTTCTAAGCTTTGCGATTGCCACAGTGGACGCGTTTGGGATGTGGAATCGCCACAAGCTAAGCACGCGGCACATGATTCATCCCCTGCATGTATGTCAGGGTCTCCTCATTCTCAAGCCATTTGATCCTTGGATGAGTCAACTCATGTGGCCCAGGTATGCTGCAATTGAGGAGAAAAGCCAGCGCTGAGCTGATTTGAATGCTGTTCTTGGAATGGCAAGATTTGAGAAACGCCACAAAGGAAATCTTCCTTGTAGAACAAATAGCTCTTTCATCTCGAAACGGCTTTCAAAAAAACATACTGTGCTAGCGGATCCATGTAATGCACTTTCTGGAGAAGAATATCTAAAAGTTTTGTGCACAAAACTTGAAAACTTACGCTGAACCTGTTGCAAATGAATACATGCATTCGCCAAGCCCCAAAAGAAGCTTGCATGAGAAAAGATCGTTTTGGTTTGAAGCCTTTACCATGTTTAGATCACAACTTGTTTATATCATATGTACACATATCTGCGCAGTGCAGGGCAGAATGATTACATAGTAATAAATAGTACTGTATGCCAATGTTTGCCATATTACATAGATCGGTCAAGGAGCTCTTGGAGCTCAAGTGTGTTCCCCACTCTTTTGGCTGGTGGTGTGCGGGGAATCCATGACATCAGGGGCTCATGCTACACACCTCCGAAGCCCGAAAAGTGCTTTCCCCAAGGATTGACTGGGCTCCCAACAGGTCCCCCCTTAGTTGATCCCAACAGGCCCGGTAACCCGGGCCTACCCGGCCCTACCCTTATCTTTGACCAGGTCAGCTCCTCAGCACCGGTGATCTAAGGTTGCGGAGCCAGAAGTGGTGCAGAGGCGACAGAAGTTGACCGATTCTACCGATTAGAATCGGTCAACTGCTGTCGCCTCTGCACCACTTCTGGCTCCGCAACCTGGTGGCCAAACAACATCTTCGAGTATGTCCTGCCAAGGCTCATGCTGAGCTCATGCTGCTAAGTATTCCTGAGGTTGTTTCCATAATATGTTTGTGTCGTTGTCAACTTGGCAGAAGGATTGCACTTGTCACAGTCACCCTCCGATGTGTCCACTGCAACAGGAACACTGGGGGGTTCCCATTGCCGTCAGGGGAAACATCCCATATGAACAAAATCCATTACATATTCCATCCATTCCATCTATAGTTTCAAGATATTGCCAACATTCCTACGCTAGCTGCCAAGAAGACGGCCAAAATGTACCTGCAGCACATGACTGGCCTGTGATATCCCACTTATGGGCCAGGAGCGATCAAAATTAAATGGCTATTAGGTATTAACATGTATTAACTTATTAACTATTGATTTTTCAAGATCAAAATGCTGGTATAAACACTAACCCCATTTTGATCCACTTACAACTGGAACTGCACCCACAATGTCCCACAAGCATTGCGCAAAATACCTGCACCAATCTCACAAACATTGCTAAATGTTGTTTTAAACATGCCAAAATGTCTGTCAACAAACCATTCAATATCATTCAATATTCAATATTCCAACCACACGCCGTCCTGAACGAAATCCCATGTTTTTTTTTGCCGCGTTCCTGTCATAAAATTGATGTTGAGGCTCCAACAAAGCATTCGCAAAACTACTTTGGCATGTGGCATCTTATGCTTGATTATTTCTGGGTGTATTCAACTCAGGTGTTCTCAGAAAAAATCCGCACACCCAAATCCATGTAACTCACATCCTCACGCAATTCCAGGGATCTCTTTGGGCGGCCCAAACTTTCCCGTGCAAACCAGGAACAACATGGCTGCAGCGGAAGAATTTCTCTGGGCACAGGCCCAGTTAAAAGTTCTCGAGCTAAGACTTCGCTGCGGTTTGGCGGCAACGTGGCACACAGATGCTTGCTGCCCTGTAGTGCGAAATGTTTCAAACATGTCCAGCACATACCGAAATAGGTACACATAAATGTGGCCAATGACCAGTAAGTCTGCAATCAGCTATCCTAAGCCTTTTCTGACGTGTTATGGCCAGCATTTGCCATCGCTCATCTTTGCTGTCAGGAATGAATCTTTACTCTGTTCTACAACAATACTGCGACCAAATTGATGAAACCATGCCAAAGACATATGGGTTTGTCTGAAAATAGGGTATATTCCCAATTATAGCCATTTAATGGGATAATGATCATTAACCATTGGGTTTAGGGGTACACTATTTTCAGACAAACCCATATTGCGAATTAGTTTGAATCCCGCAATCAACGGAAACCGAAAAAAAGACCAGTTTTTGCTTCGAGCCATGGCAACGCTTCGAGCACTGATCATCTCCCCGACTGCGCCTGCGTTTCGGCTTCCCCTCAGCGTTGGCTGTTCCAACATGTTCCAACCGTTCCAACCGCTACAGAAATGGTGACCAGCCCTATAGCCAGTGGCAATAAGCTGGCACTTTTGGGAAGTTTATCTCATGGCATTGCTAAAAAAACACCGCGGAAACCACAGATGTTGTTGTTGTTCAACCAAACCAGAACATATATTATAACAAATCCTATCCAATCCGAATCGTTGCAACTCCATATTACGAGGCTGCTAACATCAATTCCAGAGGTTCTGTGTTTCTTTCGATATCAATATTTTTGTTGATGTCCAATACCAACTTGGGGTCCAAAGCGCACTTCCGACCCTTCGAAGTTTTTTCGACAGGCATTAAAATATCATGGATCGCCAAAGAACATACTACCGTAATATGTACCCTCTGGCAATTTAACATAGCTATGGAAAATCACCATGCTATTAATGGGTAAATCCACTATTTCAATGGCCATTTTCCAATAGCTTTTTGATAGTTTACCAGAGGGTAATGGAGTCTTCACCCCGGAGTCAAGATTCGGTTCATGAGAAATCACGGATTGTCATGTTTTTCAGTTGGGCTTCCAAGCGTTCCAGCGTCTCGCGCTCGATGCCTGGGAACTGAAGAGTACTGAAGCGGTGAGCTAGGGCCCACATGGTTTGTTGGTCTAGGTGTGCCCTGAAATTTCAGCTTAGTCCATCGGAAAATCATAATTACATATAATTCCGATCCCATCCTTCAAGTTGCGCTCACTTTCAGCTAACTCTCATAACAAATGTTAATATACTCGCTTTAAAAAAAACTGGGATGATGGATGCCTAGGTGAACTCAGGAATTGGCCGGAGGGAGGTGGGCAGTCCTCTCGCCAAACGAACGTTCAACCAGAAAGTTATGGGATGTTGAAAGTTATGTGAACATTCCATTGATATCCATTGATCATTATGTTTATATATCTTTATGAAAGAAACATGTTCTGAGACTGTATCAAAGATTTAAAAGGAATCTTCAAAGGCAGGAAGTGCAAGACACCTGAAATTTGGTAGGTACCAAGGCCATCCCAAGCATGTGGTGCTGAGGGTTTTTTTCCTTTGGCAATACCTCTGAAACAAAGGACTGTGGGTATGGTGGTTGGTTTCCCAACTTTGGAGGATACTCTGACACCACCGTGTTGTTCCCCACCTGCCAGGTGAGGGTTGTTAGATTTTATCTAAGTTGCCTTCTCCTCCTCCTCCTCCTCTCCTCCTCCTCTCCTCCTCCTCTCGTCGTCCTCCTCCTCTCGTTGTCCTCCTCCTCTCGTTGTCCTCCTCGTCTCGTTGTCCTCCTCGTCCTCCTGCTCAACTGCGACTCGCGATCCACAGTGTTCGCTGCCGGACCTCAACCACGACCATCCACGCCCAGTGTTCCCTGCCGGACCTCAACCACGACCATCCACGCCCAGTGTTCCCTGCCGGACCTCAACCACGACCATCCACGCCCAGTGTTCCCTGCCGGACCTCAACCGCGAGTATCCACGCCCAGTGTTCCCTGCCGGACCTCATGTAGGAAGATATGGGACAAAGAATGTGCAGAAGAAAGTTAGAAAGAATGTCAGAAAGAATGTCAGAAGATATGCCAGAAGATATGCCAGATAGAATGCCAAATAGAATGCCAGATAGAATGCCAGAAGATATGCCAGAAAATATGCCAGAAGATATGCCAGATATGCCATGAGAAGATATGTGCCAGAATAATATGCCAGATCAGATAGATATGCCAGAAGATATGCCAGAAGATATGCCAGAAGATATGTCAGAATATATGCCAGAAGATATGTCAGATAGAATGCCAGAAGATATGCCAGATAGAATGCCAGAAGATTTGCCAGATAGAATGCCAGAGATATGTCAGAATAATATATGCCAGAAGATATGCCAGATAGAATGCCGGATAGAATGCCAGAAGAAGATGCCAGAAGATATGCCAGAAGAATATATGCCAGAAGATATGCCAGATAGAATGCGAGAAGATTTGCCAGATAGAATGCCAGAAGATATGCCAGATAGAATGCCAAATAGAATGTCAGAAGATATGTCAGATAGAATGCCAGAAGATGTGCCAGTAAGAACATGTATAAATGTCATGGTGGGGATCACACGAAGTAAAGTATTTTTTTTCCAACACAGCTGCAGCCCTGGGTCCCCAAACACACAACAAAATGAATGGTACTAGATTGATAGATGGTAAATTGATAACTCATAAATATATATAATATAATATATATAATATAATATATATATATAATATATATAATAAAATAAAATAAAATATAATATAATATTATATTATATAATATTAAATATTATAGTATAATATAATATAATTTAATTTAATATAATATAATATAATACAATATAATATAATATAATATAATGTTGTTTTTGCCCTTGTTCTTACCCTTGTAGTCGAAGCATATTTTTTGGGGGGGTGTTGTTCCTTGGAATCGTCCCTGAGACCCGGGCGAGGATAACCATTCACTGCAGGGCTCACCTGTTAACTCCGTAGACGAAACAGGGTATACTCTACCAAATCTCTACCAGATATGGAAAATATAGATATGATACTGTGGTTAGGAAAATATTATACTCTCTCTCAATCAATAAATAGATACATATATATATAGTATATATATGATATACATAATATATATATATATATATAATATATATATAGTATATAATATATATATAGTATATAATATATATATAGTATATAATATATATATATATTGTATTATATAGTAGGCTATTATAGATTATATAGATTTGTAATATTATATAGTAGGCTATTATAGATTATATAGATTTGTAATGATTTGTAAGCACAGGGGTTGACCGATGGAATCCAAGAATCTAAGGAACGCCATGGTCGCCCTGGACAATGGCAATTTGGGGCCCACGATCCTCTCCACTAAACGGTCCCCCCACCCCCCCAAAATAATATACACCTGGAGTAGTTTTTAATATTAGGGAGGGGGGGTATCTATTATGATCATTTATTATCTACTATTTCCCGGAGGATTTTACACATTGATCAACTTCATGATTAAACCCCACATTTGTTTTTGTCAAAAATAGGATCTCGAAGCTTTCCCGCAATACTAGAATCAAACCTTAACTTTAAAGACTAAAATTCTTGATTTCAACAACCAGATCCCAATAATATCCCCGGCTCCAAAAATCACTGGCGTGAATTTGTTGCACTTATGACAGGTGAAACAATTGGACAGTTTACAGTCAGCATCAGCAAGCCAGTAACATCAGTACCCTCTGGTAAACGTTTACATAACTATGGAAAATCACCATGCTATTAATGGGAAAACTCACTATTTCTATTGCCATTTTCAATAGCTTTTTGTAACAAATTAACAGGCCGGGTAAACCAGATCCACCACAGCGCCCCCTTTTGCCGCGACTTCCGCGCACGTCCGCGACTTCAGCTCGACTTCCGTCCTCGCCGGTGTCGCTGGAGACGTGAAGGACGAGATGTTGGGCGCCGGGCCTCTTGGCGCTTGGGAAAGATGGTCAACTCACATCCAAAATGGAGACAACATGGGGTTGAATGTGGAAAACATGTGGATAGACAATCAGATCCCATAAATTCATAATAATATAAATATATATATATATCATATGTATATATCATATATTAATTTGACAACAAAGGGGAAAATGGGATGGCCTCATTTTCAACGCAAAGGTCCCATTGCATTCCATAGGCAACAAATGCCATTTCAAAGGAAACATCTCAAAGATGTCAAAAGTGAGGTCGAAAGATTGAAAACCATGAATCAAATGAAGAAACTATATATATATATATTATAGCATTATATAGCCATAGCAGAGTAACTTATCATAACTTATCAACATCTACTCACCTCGCTTCTTACCATGTTCCCCCCTTGTCTCCGGCCTAGGGATATCCTGCTTTCGCCTGCGGCTCAATGGATCCAGCTGTTTTAATGAGAATTCATATTGAGAAAATGAGGATCAACCATCAAATTTGGTGATATCATGTGATATTTGATGATATTCTGGAAAAAACGAATATCATCACCCGCTGCCACTTGGCCATCAGCATCGAATCGCACGGTTTCACAGACATACGTACGGTAACGACATTTAAATATGTAGAGGGCGGGCCAGACCGCGGACTTATGATCGTGGGGCTGCCTGATCCGCTGATGCGCCGATCCCCTGATCCGCTGATCCGCTGATCCACTGATTCGCTGATCCGCTGATCCGCTGATCCGCTGATCCGATGATCCGCTGATCCGCTGATCCGCTGATCCGCTGATCCGATGATCTGATCCGCTGATCTGATCCGCTGATCCGCTGATCCGCTGTTCCACTGATCCGCTGATATCCACTGATCCGCTGATCCACTGATCCGCTGATCCGCTGATCCGCTGATCCGCTGATCCGCTGATCCGATGATCCGCTGATCCGCTGATCCGATGATGGCTGGGCAGCAGGATGATGATCCGCTGATCCGCTGATCCGCTGATCCGCTGCTGGTGCCTTCAATGTCTATGTGGAGGCTCATGGGCAACGTGCTCTGCTGTCGGGATGAGATGCGACCAAGGGACAATCCCATCCGGAAGCGGGTGGACAAGTGAAGGCGCATGATGCGGAGACAGATTTTTACAAGTCTGTGTGCGAGCAGATCTTAGCGCTTGTCGAACGAAACCTTTTTCTAGGCAGTCACGGCGCAGTCACGGCGCAGCCTCTGCTACCGTCACTTCTTGTTTAAATATATGGTCATTGTGCGACCAAGCCATTTCCTGCAGGAAAAAGACAAAGCCAAAGCGATTCATATGCTTTGTTTGATGGCCGGACAGCCACGTGAACGTAAACTCACAGACCGATGTTCTAATTCCTTGCAACCGATCAGCATGATGCGGCAAATCTGGATGGCAAGTTTCGTGGCAAAATGTGTCACAGTGATGGCAAAGCTCATTGCTGGGGGCGCAATGGAAGCCGCAGCTGCCGAGGCCTGACAGGTCCAGTGACAGGGCCAGCAATGAATGAGAGAAACATGAGAAAGTATAACAGTCCTTCAGCTTCCAAAAAAAGGAAAACAGTTAGGGCCACCCGGCCTCCTTCCTTTTCAAACAATACTTGTAGAGGTGGCAGCTGTCATCGTGAACCAAGAGGACTGCCTCAGGAGCTGCTGCCTTGGCCGCGGCCAGACAGAAATACCTTTGAGGCAGGGATTCGCTCCCGTAAACCTCTTGCATGAGCATGATGATTCCTGAGGAGAGACAGACACAGAGAATTCCAGCTGTTTTTGCCAACATCACATCAGATCTGTCTTCTTTGTGTGTGGCGCACGTGACTGCTTGCAAATCTTCTGGCGAGGAGTCCGGAAGGAGTAAAGTTGGCAAGCTGCCTTCAGCTGGCAAGGGTTGCAGGCGACTTTTTTTCCGCTGCTTCTGCCGTGCCTGACCGGCCCTGTTGAAGTACTCTTCCCGCAAAGCCTTGCTCACAGAACCTTCAGAGACCCATGCAGATCTGCCTTCACCCCCAATCTCAGAGAGCCGAAGTTCGATGCCATTGTCACCTCGCACGCGGTGCTTGACCACTTTCATGTCCTGCATGCAACTCAGCCAGGGTTGCATATTGAAAGGCAAGGTTTTGGCTCCAACTGTTTCAGCCTCACGGAAGCCCAACCCTTTGAAAGTTTACGCACTTATTTATGGGCTTTTGCATGATCTGTAAAACTTCTAAAAACAATGCACATGTTTGAAGCGGGTAGGTGCACTTGCACTGGTGCACTTTTCTCTGGGACGCAGCGCGCTCATGTCAGGAGATTGCGTCACTGATTCTCCCCCTTCTTTCGGCGCTTCGCAGCATGTTTGACAGCAGCTTGCTTTGCTTTCTCCACTGCCTGCGTCATGGAACCAACCAGCTCACGCAGCGTGAGACCGCACAATGTCATCAGATGGTTGTGGTGCTGGACACGGAGGCCAGGATCATCTGGAATTCTGGCCACGTGCAACTCATCACCGCTCAGCTGGAGGATCGGGCATTCCTTACAGGCACTGGTCATGACGGCCATCCAATTGGTTTTAGGCAGCGCTTTGCGGCCTTTGCCCCTGGAACTGCGGAGCCCGTCACAGGCTTGCTTGCAGGTGATCTTTGGCGTGCCATGTAGCAATGTCATCTTGGCGATGTACCTGTCTGTCAAGTGCTTTGCGTGCAAGCAGGGCTGAACAGAAAGACCACGATCGCCATAACCAAAATCCATCGATCGCACTTGGTCGATATTGAGTGGCTGGAGCCCTTGCACTGGTGGAAGCGGCGCTGGTTCAGGAGGCGGCTGCTGTGCCGGAGATGCCTCCCCATGATCATGATCTTCTTCATGGTCGGGGCGCCCATCGCTGTCCACTTGCTCCTCGTCTGCTGGCGCCTCTGCCTCTGACTGCTCAAAATCTTGGTCTGGCACTTCCAAGGCGGAGAAATCATCAGGTGGAGGGACTACTTGCTGGTTTGGGTCAGGTTCTTCTCCTTCCTCGCCCAAAGAAATGGCCTTGATCGCGTGGACCTAAGCGATCAATGGAAACCAAAAATTGGAAACAGGTGTTGGTGAGCAAAACAGGTACGGACTGCTAATGGGAATACTTGCATGCATGCACGTTGTTTTTTCCATGGGGTACCACGAAGCACGCGTATCTGGCGGCAGTGCAGGACAACTGAGGATCCAGCAATTTTCATCAAAGCAAAGGCCCTCTTCAAATGGTCTGCTGTGATTCGCAAAGATCTTGCTTCCAGCTGCTCTGCTGAGTACACCCCGGCAAAGATTTCATACACTAGAAGGCATCCAGAGAGAACCCCAATCTGCCAAGGTGCAGCTCCCATCTAGCACCTGACATTGTGTCCCCTTTCTCTCGTGCCACGTGGCTTTGCACATTGAGACCTCCTTGGTATGACGTGTGCCACTGGGCTGCATCGTCAGAGAATTCCAAATTGATGTGGGGGGAAGCAAAGTAGTCCGTGACGCTTTTCACTGCAGGTCCAAGGGCAAACTCTGGCGGAACAGTGAAGGACCAATTGGCCACACGCCATTCAGGCATGAAACCTGTTGCTTCACCAGCATCTCGACGAAAGCGAATCCTGCTCATGATGCCGTCCAAGAGCCTGACGGGGTAGCCTTCCTCCGATGGGACGAAATCTCCCCTGAAGTCCTGAGTGGCCAAGAGACCAGGAGGGTTCTCACCAGGAAAAGTATCTTGCCATTCCGCGTGGGCAGCCTCAGTGGACTGGGCTTCTTTGGCGACGCCAAGCATGTCCGCCACATCCGACGTCAGTGGAACCCATAGATGCGGAGGAACTCCTGCGAAGGGCAGGATGGAAGGAAGAGTGGAGAGAGCAACGGCTGCGGCGGGAGAAAGCAAGGTACTAAGGCATCTTGCGGTCGCATGAAAATGTTCATGGCGACCAACGAATACTAACAAACACATAATGGACATATAGTTTCTTCACAACCGAGCCATGTGGCGACACTGGCCTCGCCTGATGGTAATGGGTAATCTTTTGGAAGGTCTTCGTGGGGCTGAATGGGGCGGCCACTGCAAATGAGAAACCTTTCCTTCGTGGCTGCATGGTGACTGCCCGTTTCAGAGCGCTCCATGGGCACATAAGTGGACGGATGCATATTCCCCACCACGCCAAGCGAGATGCCATTGCCAGAAGTGTCCCCATAGCTTCCACTGGTTCTGATCGCGCGGGCCGCAGACCCAAATTGAAGGAGTTTGTTCAAGGCACTCTGGTGCGGGTTGACCTTGGAGTTTGCCTTTGAAGACTTGTTACCTTCTTCTGACAAAAGCCCGAATGCAGTTAGGAAGTCGTAGGTCTCATCCAAGTTGCCCAGAACACCGAACCATTGCCGCCCTTGCCACATCCCTGGATCACCTGGGAGGTTGCCGGAATGCTTGACCTGCTTGAAGTCACTGGCACAACGGTGGAACCACTCTTCAGGAGTCGCGCTTGCAATTGCTGCAGACAGCACCACACCTTTCGGCCTGACAGGGTCGATATGTTACGAAATCATGCAGAACACTTGCGCTGGTACATTGCTTGAAAAAGCACAGCACATGTACAGCATGCAATTCTAGCTGAGATGGGAGCCGCGCCTGCCCACCACTGCATCCGGAGCCTGCCGCTGTTCTGCCTCCACTTGCTCTTGGATGGCTTTGCTCACTTGGTTCTGCACAATCTTGTCCAACTCTCGAGTGATGGAATCTGCAAAACTTGTCACGCTGCTCTTCCTGGTCTGTGAGTAGTTCACATTGATGGTGAAAGCGACCAGCGGGCTTGGGCTTGTTGGGAAGATGGACACCCGTGCTCCATTGGTGAGAGGACACATCAACGACAGCATGTTGAGCGCGTATGGGAACTCATGGTGGGATGCCCGCACTGCCCAGGTCTGACAGAACTGGTGCCCAAGCTGGGTCAGCAAGCGGCAAGGGTCCCACATTTTGTCTACCGTATCCCAAATGGATTTCATGGCTGCCAAGTATTGCCGGTCTACTTCCCGGCCCATGTTCTGACAAAGCTAGCTGCTAGTTTAATACCCAGAGCCTTTCCGCTGCAACATGCAGCAAAATCTCATGAAAGCTTGGAAAAACAGAATCCCATGAAAGCACAGCTCATGTGGCACTCATGTGGGGAGCAGACCCACTGCCCGGCGCACCCAGTCCTGGATGATGTTGGCAACCTCGGAGTCATGGTGGGGACAAAAACTTTTTCCCAATCGCGGTGTGCATGGGCAGGTGTGCCGCACAGTTTGGCCCAAAGCAGGCGACCTCAAAGCTCCTGCCAGCAATGAAGCACACACGGCACGTCTGTTCTTTGCATTCCCGTCCATGACGAGGACATCGCATCGCATGCGAGCTGCTCGTGCCTTGTCCATACTAATATGTTGATTTTTTTTAAATATAAGTTGTTTATATTCAGCATATAAGTTTTTCATAAGCTGTTTACAAGTTGGGTTAACTTGGGTTAAGTTACTTTAAGTAAGTTATAAGTATATATCATTAGTTATAAGTTACTTAAAGCAACTTGACCAACTTATGCGACTTAACATGTTTTACTTAGGTTGGAGTTAGATCATACTTAGGTTTGACTTAAGTCTAGTTAGCTATTGTTGTATTTTTTGTGACAAACAGCTCTCAGGACTGACTTTCTTTGTAGCCATTTGGGGGAAATCTGTTGGGGAAACCATTCATGTTGGATCAAACACCATATATGACATGGAAAGGATCAAAGACTGCAAAACAGAACATTTTGCGTCTGCATGGCATGTCGGCCAGATGTCGGCCAGCATTCACATGTAACACGTTCGCAGCATGTCGGCCTGCATGTCGGCCCTGCTAAAGTAATATTAAACACCATATTGCAGGTTTGCACACCGCGTGTCGGCTGGATGTCGGCCAGTGTCGGCCATGAGATTTTCTCTGCAGCCACTTTTTTGCTCTGTGCAGACCGAAACCCCACCATGAGATCTATGAGCCAGTGTGGTGGCCATCACCTTCCTCTACTAACAAAACCGCACAAAACCAAAAGCATGCGCCAGCAAAGGGAAACCACATTTTCCAAAAAAAAGCTACTTAGCTTCAACTTAAGATGAACTTAGTAACTTCGTTCTAAGTTGTCTTAAGACTACCTATCTTGAGTTCACCTAAGTTCACTCTAAGTAACATAATTCCAACCTAATTAAAAAAAACGTATTAGTAGCTTCCTTTGTGAAGTCCGCTTGAAAGGCTGGCATGAAAGGTTCCAGCAACTCGTCAATGTCCTTGCGAAGATCGATGGAAGGCGAAGCAGCAACGGGCTGCCTACACCCATAGGTCCTGAGCAAGAGACGCCATTTGAACCAACCTTCGCTGATCAAAAGTCGCAGTCTTGCAGTGGGGAGAAGGTGTTCTTGCCCGCAGGCACGGGCATGCTCCCGGACAACATCGCTTTCGCCGATAAAACTCGCATGCTGCCGAACTAATCTTGCATGGAATTGTTGAAGCCACGCAATGGAGAAGCCAAATGATGAAGTAAGCATAAAACATCTGAGTTCATGTGGGCAGCCGGTGAAGATATGCTTTCCTGACTCCACACTGTAGTTGTGCCACATAAGCACACTGCACCTTTGACAAGTTCTATTGCGGCACCTCACTGGAATGTGGTGTTTGGAAATTGGCCCTGCGGTATGCAGAATTACCGCCTGTGTCTTCAAAGAGTCGCACCTGCTGAGCACAGCATTGCACTCTGAGCAATGTTGCTGAAGAGGTAGCAGATGCTGCAAATCAGTTTCCGCTCCGAAAAGAGGCAGCAAATAGCCAATTTCGGCTTGCAGTCGCTGAGCAACTCTGTGGCCAACTTCGGCCGGCACTTGCAAGGCCGGGTCTGCAGATTCTAAGATAGCTGCGAGGCACGCAAGGCCTTGCTCCATTGCCGATATCACAAACGGAGTGGCCGGAAGGAATGTTAAAGAGAAAGCTTGCATGCGGGTTTGGATAACACTTGGACCTGTCCATGTCGATTGTACTTGGACCTGATGTGTGCATGTTAATGGCAATCTGTGTGGGAACAGAGCTGGGCCTGCAGAAAGAAAAGAGGCAAGAGTACAGCAAGGCAGTAGTGGTGGCACAGAACCAGCATGCTCCTGCTTTCCTCTGAGCGGAGGACACGCGCACCCCATCCTTGCTGGCGATGGTCACATCTGAACGCCTAGGCAGGAGCGGTTGCAGGATCGTCGTCGAACGACAGGTCTCCAACAAAACATTCTTGCCAGCCCACTGATCCATCCTGATCCGTCGTTTACATCAAAGTTGATCAACAGAGGGAATGGGGGTACAGTACGGCCGCTACGGCAGAAACAAAATGCACCTCTTTCTTCTGAGCCAAGGGACATGCGCATTTTGTTTTCCATATGGTTCGATCATCAGGCCTCGGCTAGCGCAGTCGGGCATGAGTGAAGCATACTGTGAGCAAAACTGAACCTGAAAGGCGCCATGGGCCATGAGTCACTCTTCCCGAAAACCTCTATACCAATCAACCAATGAACTCACTCCGTAGATGTCACTTGCAGTCCTTGACTCAAATGCTGGATGATCCGACAACCTGAGGCCACACGTGTACTGTGTGCCAAATTTCGTGGGTCAGGGGGTTTTGGGGCTGAGAAAAATGAAAAAAGGGTCGAAAGGAAAAAAAAGGATTTAAGGTTTTTTCCTTGCCCTGGCCAAGCCAGTGCATCTGCACCATACTGCTCATAATGCGCGCAAAATGACATTTCAAACTGTGTTTTTCACCAAAAAACAACTAAAAATGTGCTAAAACAGCCCAAAATTGCCAAAAACCATGCTTCTACGTAGCTGATGCCAGCAAAACAAATGAAAAATATCCTGGCAATGTGATTTGGCAATTAAAAACAAAAGGGACAGTCACTTTTCCTTGATCAGTTAACCAGAAATATGACCAAAAATGAAAAAATCGATGAAAAACTGAATTTTTTGTTACTCTGACCCATAGATTGGTTTGTGAAAAAACCTTATCGCTGTCATGTCAGTGGTCACCATTCATGCCCATTGAAGAAAGCAATGGCCATTTTGACAAATATTGTCAAAATATCACCTAATCATGGAAAATTGAAGTGAAACACTGCACTTGACAACCCGAGAAATGGGCTACAATGCTACAAACATTCATAAAGCTGTCTCTCATTTCTCAGCAACACAAACTGCGATTTAAAAATGCAAAAATTAGCACACAATATGGTATATTTAGCGCTTGCAGAAGGTGAGTGACAAGGATGCGATGGCGAGGGTTAAGACGCGTGGACAGAAAGCGCGTCGCCGCGAAACCGGGAGAAAGAACGCGTCCCAAGAATGTCCAAACAACAAGTCCGAGTCCGTCAAGTTCCCAAAGCTGTTGATTTTGATCATCAATGGAAATGCAAGTCTCAATCGCCAAGCTGAGCTTTGCAGCAAGCGTTCCACAAACATAGCAGTCGCAAACCCCCAGACCCTGCTCTAGTCCATCCAGCTATCCAGCCATCCGGCATGAGTTTCTGCTTCAAGTTCTTCAAATTCAAACTGCAAACCTTTCTTTGTGCTGAAGGTTAATTACAATTTGGACCCCAAATTCCACAGTTTAACTTTTCTTTGGCCCCAATGGCCGGAAGCGGTAGCGCTGTCCTTTTTTAGTTGAAGTTTTTACTGTTTAGGGTTTAGCATTTTTTTGGATTAATAAGCCCGAATACAAATTTTCCTTTGGCCAGAAGGGCCCACGCGGTAGCGCTGCCCCTTTTTCATGTTTTAGGGTTTAGGGTTTAGGTTAGGTTTATATAATTTTCATTTCTTCCCAAATTTTGAATAAAACTTTCCATTGGCCCAGAAGGGCCCACGCGGTAGCGCTGCCCTTTTTTCTTTTTTTAGGGTTTAAGGTTTAGGTTTTAGGGTGGTTTACATTTTTGTTGTTTAGCTTCCAATTTCCGAATAAAAGTTTCCTTTGGCCCAGAAGGGCCCACGCGGTAGCGCTGCCCTTTTTTCTTTTTTTATAAGGTTTAGGGTTTAGGTTTACATAATTTTCATTTGTTCCCAAATTCCGAATAAAACTTTCCATTTGCCCAGAAGGGCCCACGCGGTAGCGCTGCCCTTTTTTCGTTTTTTAGGGTTTAGGGTTTCTCGGGAGATTTACATTTTTTTGTTTGGCTTTCAATTTCCGAATAAAGTTTCCTTTGGTCCCAATGGGCTGATGCGGTAGCGCTGCTAACTTTAGCATATTGTATTTGTTCTTTTTTTGTTCTGCAACAGTAGTTCCGCCCTGCCCCCCCTCTATGACCGTTCTAAAATATTTAGGGCGCCGAAGGCGCCGAAAAAAAATACAGTACATAGTACTAGTACATAGTACATACAGTGCCTGCGCCAGACGCGAAAAAAAAAACAAAAAACACCTCTAATTTTTTTAAGGTTTCGAAACAAGATGGAAAAAGTTTTAGTTCCAAAAAAAAAGAACTAAAAACTTTTCAGTTTTCGAAACAAGATGGAAAAAAGTTTTAGTTCCAAAAAAAAGAACTAAAACTTCTTCAGGTTTCAAAACAAGATGGAAAAAAGTTTTAGTTCCAAAAAAAAGAACTAAAACTTTTTCAGGTTTCAAAACAAGATGGAAAAAGTTTTAGTTCCAAAAAGAAAGAACTAAAACTTTTCAGTTTTCGAAACAAGATGGAAAAAAGTTTTAGTTCCAAAAAAAAGAACTAAAACTTTTCAGGTTTCAAAACAAGATGGAAAAAGTTTTAGTTCCCATTTTTTTTAATTTTATTTATTTTTTTAAAATTCTTTTTTTTTTAAATCTTTTTTTTTAATTCTTTTTTTTCATTTTTTTTTTTAAATTCTTTTTTTCCTTAAATTCCAAAAAAAAGTTTAAGTTATTTTTTTTTAGAACTAAAACTTTTTAGTTCTTTTTTCAAGACTTCTACGTTGAAAATCTACATGAAATCCTTGGAAAACGATGTTTTTTGAGCAAATTTCTACGTAGAAAGAGCTGAAAATCAATGACTTCTACGTAGAAATTTGATCAAAAAAGCATCATTTTTCAAGGATTTCATGTAGATTTTCAACGTAGAAGTCTTGAAAAAAAGAACTAAAAAGTTTTAGTTCTAAAAAAAAATAACTTAAACTTTTTTTTGGAATTTCAGGAAAAAAAGGAATTTAAAAAAAAATGAAATAAAAAGAATTTTTAAAAAAAAAGATTTTATTTTTTTTTAAAAAAATATTTTTTTAAAAAAAAAAAATCGGAACTAAAACTTTTTCCATCTTGTTTTGAAACCTGAAAAAGTTTTAGTTCTTTTTTTTTGGAACTAATTTTTTTCCATCTTGTTTTGAAACCTGAAAAGTTTTAGTTCTTTTTTTGGAACTAAAACTTTTTCCGTCTTGTTTTGAAACCTGAAAAAGTTTTAGTTCTTTTTTTTGGAACTAAAACTTTTTTCCATCTTGTTTCGAAAACTGCAAAAGTTTTAGTTCTTTCTTTTTGGAACTAAAACTTTTCCATCTTGTTTTGAAACCTGAAAAAGTGTTAGTTCTTTTTTTTGGAACTAAAACTTTTTTCATCTTGTTTCGAAAACTGAAAAGTTTTAGTTCTTTTTTTTGGAACTAAAACTTTTTCCATCTTGTTTTGAAACCTGAAAAAGTTTTAGTTCTTTTTTTTGGAACTAAAACTTTTTCCATCTTGTTTCGAAACCTTAAAAAAATTAGAGGTGTTTTTTGGTTTTTTTTTCGCGTCTGGCGCAGGCACTGTATGTACTATGTACTAGTACTATGTACTGTATTTTTTTTCGGCGCCTTCGCCCTAAATATTTTAGAACGGTCATAGAGGGGGGGGGGCAGGGCGGAACTACTGTTGCAGAACAAAAAAAGAACAAATACAATATGCTAAAGTTAGCAGCGCTACCGCATCAGCCCATTGGGACCAAAGGAAACTTTATTCGGAAATTGAAAGCCAAACAAAAAAATGTAAATCTCCCGAGAAACCCTAAACCCTAAAAAACGAAAAAAGGGCAGCGTGATGTTGACATCGTGATGTTGAAGTGGTCTACCACTACTTTTACATCATCTGACAATGACACTGCAACTGCAACTGCAGCTGCAACAACAACAACAACAACGAACCTGAATCTGAATTCAGAAGAAAAAAACTGAATTTTGGAATCACTGCGTCTCACTGCCCATCTCTCCATTCAGTCATGATTTACATAGATTAGTTTTACAATTTACAAAGGTTCAATTCATTGACATATTGCTTCAAGCCTTCAACCTCAAGGCTTCGGGCTTCAATCTTCAAGTGGCTTCAAACACACTTGCTTTTTGGCAGCAAACTCAAACATCTAGGACAACCACACAGTGTGTCCAAAAATCTCTCAAACAAAGAAGAGAGGAGGGACGTGTGGAACCCTAAGACAATCGCTAGACAGAGGAAGGAAAACTTAAAACTTTCAAATACACATGCTTCCAAGTGCGGAAGTTCAACACCCAAATGGAAGTTTCCAGAGCGTGAGCAAACCAGCAAGCAAAGGCAGCGCAAGCACGACGCAGCACCACGCAACACCACACAATGTTTGAGCGCACCGCACATTCAGCGCTAACTATTTGCAACCAAAAGCAATGATGTTTGTCCACTTTTGACAATGCTGATTCGCTGGACTAGGTGCAAGAAAGCCACAAAATTGTCAAAAGTGGCAGCTTTTTGTTCAAAAACAAAAAATCACGTGAGGTTCAAACAAATAAAAGTCAGTCAGTCAGTATATCATGTTCATGGCACCATTTTTTTCCTCACAACTCATGGTTGTAGTTTGATGCACTTAGATGTTTGTGCTTTGTTTTGTAAGTTTCAGCCAAATTGGCCAGGTTTTTGATACATGTTTGGAATTTCCTCGCGTTTAATCATGTCATTTACATG